AAAGCGTTTGATAAATTCCTCAAAGATAACGGTATAAGCCGAAGACTATCTGCACCTTATACTCCACAGCAAAATGGCATGAGTGAAAGAAAAAATCGGTCGCTGATGGATAAAGCCAGATGTCTGATGCTAGATGCCAATATCCCTACAAAATTTTGGGCAGAAGCAGTAAACACGGCAAACTATTTGATACATAGAAGCCCAGCAAGAGCTCTCAAAGGCAATTCTCCATATGAGAAATGGGTACAACGAACACCATCAGGAAATCACCTACACGTATTCGGAAATAGAGCGTTTGTGATGAAAAAAAACCGAAGAGGAAAGTTCACAGCCAAAGCCACAGAAGGAGTATTCTTGGGATATGCGGAATATACAAAAGGTTTTAGAATCTATATACCCGAAAGGAATGATGTTGTTATCAGCAGAGATGTAAAAGTAATCGAAAAGATGCATGGCGGTACTCCTGCTAAGAAACGCGAAGATCTTACTCCAGAACCTGAAACAGTACAAATTGAAATTGAAATTCCAGAAACAAGAAACAAAATTAATGAGAACTTAACTTTTCAGGAACCTAACCCCCTTTATTCCAGCTCTAGTCAAAATCCTGTTGATGAACCATCTCCCTCAAGTGGAAGACCACAAAGTGATGTGAGACCACCAGCATGGACCAAGGATTATGAGTTAAGTCGCTGTGTGGCCATGTTTACGTCAGAAAATAATGACTACGACTTCTCTTTACTCGCATACAAAGAAGCTGTGACTGGCACCGACAGACGAAATTGGGAGAAGGCGATACAATCTGAAATGGAATCATTACAGAAAAATAAAAACCTTGTGACACAGGCAAGTAGCGATTCAAAGTTGATACAGGAAACTGCCCAGGAGAAGGAATATGCCTATAGGGAAGCAGTGGGAAGTTTACTGTACCTGTCTACCAGAACCAGACCAGATATCGCATAAGCGGTCAATCTAGTTAGCAGGAAGGTCGAAAACCCCACTAGAGAAGACGTAATAAAAGTCAAGAAAATATTCAAATATTTAGTGGGAACCAAAGAGAAAGGCATTTTGATCAAACGAAACAAACCGATAGAGAACATTGATGCTTACAGCGACTCAGATTATGCTGGAGACCCATTGACGCGAAGAAGCACTTCTGGCTCCGTGCTAATGATAGCCGATGGACCAATATCATGGGCATCCAAGAGGCAGCCTATAGTAGCGCTATCGTCGACTGAAGCCGAGTACATAGCCGCAGCAGACTGTTGCAAAGAGGCATTGTATCTCAAATCTCTATTACAAGAAATAACCGGTTTGGACATACAAATAAATTTGCATGTTTATAATCAAAGTTCGATTCAACTTGTGAAGTCTGGATACTTCAACAAAAGGTCGAAGCACATAGACGTGCGGTACCATTTTATACATGAACACTTCGTGCAAGGATTAATAAATATTAGCTACTGTCCCACAGAAATTCAGTTAGCTGACGTAATGATAAAACCATTGTCAAAAGTAAAGTTTGAAAGACTGTGCAAGATTAATGCATACATAGAAACGTGTCTCGGCAACATGAGTGAACATCAGGAGAAGGTGTTGGAAGGTGGTGATGCTGTCCACGTATAACGTCTATGATGCACTGCATTTGAATTTGGATTATGTTCTTTTTTACTTTTGATGTGCGGTATCATTAAATTTTCTCATATACAAGTAAACACAATGTTTTCAAGTATTGTTTACGTTTTAATTAATTGCTATAGCCGCTAGTCCACCCTATCACAAACAGGCTATACAGATAGGTAACACTTGTCATTCAAGTGTCTCTGGCCGTGACTTATATTCCTTGGTTCCAGGCTCCTTATGCTGCTGACAGATTTCGTAAACCATGGTTTACGAAATCTTATAAATAGTGAATGGCAGCAATCCAAAATAGTAAAAGGGAAATATTTTCTTCAACATTAATCTTAATTTTTTTTTAATTTAAAAACTTGCCAAGCGAGCGGACGGTTCACTCGATGTTAAGTGAATACCGCCGCCCATGGACATCTGCTACACTCGGGGGTGGCAGGTGCGTTGACAACCTTTTGAAATTTGGGCCCCGGCTACCTCACTCACCAGACGAAGCGCAAAAGTATTATCCTTCCACTTGACACCGGTCTTCTGTCTGCGTGGTTGTGGTACTTACCCGGACGAGCCTGCCCATTCGCACATCAACCGAGGCTGCTGCGTGGCACTACCACCGTAATATATGTATAAAACATACATATATACAAAATTTTAATAAAACAGTTATACGTCTATTATAACGTGCCTTCGCTAAGGGTGTTAGGACGTTATCCGTGTGGATTAGACGGTGCACTGATGCATATATGTTTTCCTGCCGAAATGTCTCAGTCCCCCTTCCTCACAATATTTCTTTACAATTTTCCAAGACCTCCCAATATCTCAATCCTACCGACTCTTATGGTTAGAACTTTACTACGAGGTGATTCAGTCACCTCGTATTAAAGTTCTATACAAATTTGTCCATCTGAATAACTCGGACTTTAAACTCCGTATTTTGTCCCCTTTTTATTTTTCCCGCCATTTATATTATTTGTATTGTGTTTAAGAATACACCTTAGTTCTACTAGATGGAGCCATTACACTAAAATTAGAGTCAACTTTGTTTCTTAGTTATTTATAAAATGTCAAATCACTGCTATATATTACATTTAAGGTTATTATTAACTAAAATCATCGTCTATTGAGAATATAAAAGTTTAAATCGTCCATATTAATTGTAGCGACATCTATTGCATGGAACATTAACTTTTCTGTTTCTTTTCTGACTCTATCTCTAGCTCTATTCAGAGATAGGTACTAGTTGTCTAATAATTTTAAAATGTCTCGATAGAACAGGATAAAAAGAAACAAAACATATTTTTAAAATAATTGTACTTGTATGATCTTCAAAAGAAGTTTTCGTATTATGGGTATTAATTACCTACATAATTACCTATAAGGGACCTAGAAGGGACGGTAAGCTGTGAAACGGCTAAGACGAGCTCTGTACTATTTTTTCGGGGGCCCCAATAAAGGTTTTTAAGCAAAGAACCAAAAAAGTTCGCATGGAAATAATATAGGTACGACGAACTTATTTCTTAAATCATCCATAACGAAGTCGATTTCACTTTTTCTATATTTTCTGCCTCTATATACAACAGGGACATGTCTGATGGGCGTCCCAGTTCCCAAAGTAACTAGTTTTCGATAGGGAGCTAGTAGCTACGCCCCTCGTATGAACGCTCTTTCGGCCCTGCCTATATACAAGACGGACAATATGATAATTTTTCAAAACAATCGAAAATAAATCTTTTAAAATTTATTAAATATACTTATATGAACAAATGAACGAGCAAGAAGTCAACGTTCTTCCGTCTTTTCGATTTGATTTATTCAGGTAACATTGTTCACTCTCTAAGCAAAGCATTAGTGTTCATCTCTGTAACGTTTAGTTAACTTTTTGTTAATGTAGATAGCCTTTCCTACAGCTGATCAAAACCAGTGTTTAAAGAGAACGCAGCTGGCATGTTTGTAAACAATGAAATAATCGAGTACAAAAGGACCGGATAAAATAAAAGAAGCTTTTATATTTTTCAAAGGACTAGTATATTCTTATAAATAACTTAATTACAACAATCATAAACCTCAAGTATAAAGAATGGTATTTAAAGCATAAGACATCAAGTTTTCTCAATTAATACACGGGGAGCATTGTGCCTATATAGCTATCTCTAGATAATAATACTTGATTTTTTGTTAATTAATCAAATTGTAAAAAAGGTACTTTTTTCAATGCATAACTTACAAAAATTTTCGTACGTTAATTTTTGAACACTGACATAACTTGAAAAACTATAACAAATACTATGAATTACATAATTTAAGAATTAAATAAAAAGTAAAAACGTCACCCTGAACTGGCTACGCACTACAGATAATAGCAAATCATTAAGATCTTATAAAACTATTTTGAAAAATTAACATAATCTAGGTAAGTTAAAATGAACACAGTATTTGGTAGATCTGTGCATCTTGGGTAGTCTAAATTCTATTAAATGCAATCTAGATCAACGAAACAGTGAAGATTATAACTCATAAACTAAGTCTATAGTACAAGGGTATTAATTATATTATAAATAAAGATAGAATAACGCGGATTGTCATCCACTTAAAATAGTCTAGGAGTATTTTTAAAAAGTTTTCTTCGCACCTAGGATAATTTTTATCATTTTATGAATCGTACATGTTATCAGTCGGTTTCGCTTATGCACAAGAATTAGACGAGGAAAAAAGCGGTCAACTCCATTTTTTAAAGGAATAGAACTAGAAGTGGGTGGCCAGCTCATCCTCTTTTGTTCTTGTATCTTTCTTATTATATAAAACTTATTATTATAGTTATAATTACAATTTGTTCAAATATGTAAATCAAATCATTCGATATTCAAAATTCGAAACTTAAGAATCATTGATGAATATTTTAGGATGCAAAACGTTTTCTTAGAAGTTTTAGGTTATTAGTAACATTTAACCCAAATTGTGAAATGGTACGAAGAAGCTTTACTAAAATATAGACAATATATTAACCAGCCTCTTAAGATACAACCTCATTTTTATTAAACAACAAGAACTATATTACCCACAACGTTTTATTAAGACACTGTAGTTATTCATTATTGCTGAAGGGCTTGACATTAAAGTAGGTAAATAAAAAATAAAAATTATACAACATCGATAAGTACGTTGAACAGTAAACATTAAAGGCTGTTAAATGATAGTTTATTGCAAGGCAATTTTTTATTAGGGTAAGAGGCTCAGCGTGCTACAGTTTACTTAAGGCTAAATGAATAAATATGCTTAATAAAATGATCGAAGCGTAATAACTCTAATCATTCACAAATCGTTCATTAATCACCTTTCATTCACTCGTGTCGTTCTTGCTTTGTCATTCGTTCAGATTATACCGCGGCTTCGGCCTCGGTTTCTATTTTCGGGGGCCTGTTGTTGGCGGCGTTCTGAAGAGCCTGCGCCTGTGCCTGCGCCTGCGCCTGTGCCTGTGCCTGTGCCTGTTGGGCTAGAGCGTACAGGCGCAGTTGCTCCATGTACCGCCGCTTGTTTTCGGGGTTGCTCATAACTGAGGCGAGGAACTCTGACGTCTCCTTCTGCAGCGCGACGATTTTCTGCTGTATCAGGCGGTTCTTGTGCATCAGCGCCACGGTCTTCCAGGCCAACTCGAGGATGACGCGGTTCTGGGCCGCCTTGTGGGCCGCGGTCACATTCGGGCCGGACGTGGAGTTGGAATCGTCGCTGGCGTTTGACGCAGCCAGCCGGTTCAGCCTCTGGAGGCGTCTCGCCTCGCGTACCCTGGCCAATTGGGACCCTGGAACAAGGAGAAAATTCATAACACTGTTTCGTTGATTGCGAATGCTAACAATTGCTAACACAATGCTTGTTTTGAAAATGCACATTGACAGCGTGTGAATAGTAATTGTATGCAAGGTATTTTGTTTGGTACGAAGTATTCGATTTGTTTTAGCTTACAGATAAATGTCGGCAAAGAGAGCTATAAAAATAAAAATATAAAAAGCACAAAAACAAAAATAGAGTGACGTCGTAGTGTAGTCGATGGACGTATGTGAGGTGTCGAAAGTGTGTCGGGATTTAGCACTCTATTGTCTTTAAACATCACGCCGGTGTTGCAAGATAGTGAGTGTTATACCTATACATACAAACACACAACCTTGTCAAATAGGCGAGGCATATACGTACTAATGCAATTATCTCAATTTAGGTGAGGGTTAAAAGATGTTATCGAGATACTGGTGAGATTTTATTATTAACAGATAAGAGTATCGGAGAAAGAATTGATTGTACGATCTTTACCATAATTTTACCATACAAAAATTAAAAAGCTTTCTGTAATGTAGACAGCAAAATTAGTACTAATCTACTTGACAGCCAATTCAAAAATGAAACATGGTGAATAATTAAGTTGTTAAATAATTAACGTGTTGTACTTTACCAGAAATAACAACACTATCTTTATCCTTGGGATAAGAAGTGTTAAGAAACTATTAAGAGGCTAGGCGCCGTAATATGTACAAAATCATGAGCGACAATCTACATACACTTATCATCTTATTGCATCTATGCATATCTTTTTAAATTATGCTTATTATTATTTATTATTGGAATGTATTCAACAGTAATCGTAAACTATAATGTAGTGTATATCAATAAAACAAATATAAAGTGTATATTTGCTTTTGTATTTCTTATCATCATCATCATCAATTCAAAACTGCTTCGAATGAACAGCTGAACGTAGGCGTCCCTTACAAACGCATGATCCTGAGCTACCTGTATCCATCGACTTCCCGCACATATGTGCAGGTCGTCACTCTATTAGTGGTGGCGGAGGTAAATTAGCGAATGTTTATCGGCATGACACCTTACCAAACGATTTCAGCAAATACTCTACTACTAATACTAAGCCTAGTAGGTTTATCGTCCAGCAGTTGCATAAAAAAACAGACTTCATACCCGCTGTTTATTATTATCTTTGTGGTATTATAAGAGAAACGTTTACTATAATATTGACTTCCACATTCAATGAGATCGGCTGCAAAATAGTCACGTGCTGATTTTAATCGTCATGTGGCCTCTTTGTACTCACATTAAACACGGATGACAATAATTGCGTAAGCATGATGTAACTTTATAACAATACAAGCATCTGTTCCACTTTTCTACTTATGGTGAACGACAGATATTGATTCACGGAGGTGATATGATGTTACCAGCTTCGGTGTGCTCTTTTTAAATTTTCAAGCACACAAATAAATTGAAACCAAATAAACTGAAATTATCGTACAGTGACAGTGGCCGGTCACCGAATGGTCGTGTAATAATGTGTAAAAATATTTATCAATGAAAGGTATTTTATCTGTAAGAATAACGTTAAAATTCGGTTTACTTAACTATTTTTAAATTTAAACAAACTGTCAATAGATGGCGCAATTTTTTATTCTTTATAAGATTAAAAACTAAAATTTTTTCTATAAAAATATTAACAATTCACTTTTATTGTCAATAGCGATAAACTTCAGTTTTAAAATAGTCTTTGAATCATCAATGGGTACCGACAAAGATAAACGATTGAGAAATAATATATAGAGATTCCCAAACATCCAATTGGTTTTACATCCACATTCCCGCCGCTTTCAATTGTTTTTTTTTTAATGATGTACTGGCCGTACAGGTAAATTGATTGTCATTTTACCTGAATACAAATTGCGATGTTGTGTCACAGCACTGTCGTTACGCTGACGCAATATATCATCTTCTAATAGTCAAAAATAACTATCAAGGCTCATGAATACTTTATCATTGGCAGGCAAATATTACGCTTTACAACCACCCCATTTTATTTAAGAACGACGGTGACTGTAAAAATAGACCGGGAGACACGGAACAGAGATAATGGAACTACGGAACTACGGACGTTCCGTGCAAGAATCATTAATAGTTTTCTACTGCATGTATATGTATCCATTTTGACTAACACAATAATATGCATAAATGAAACTATCTAAATTACTTACTATGCGATAATCGAGTTTGTAACACAATAAATAGTAGTCTTTTCTTTAGTAATACTATCATTGTCATATTTTAAATTTGGTGTTTTACACAAAACATCAAATATTTAGAAGACAGGGGTATAGATAATGACGAAATATCCCCAAGACGTTAAACTATAATAATATCAATAAAAACAATTAATATTTAATAAAATAAGCTGTGTGTTGTGCTCAATAAATTATTATAAGTAGGACTAGACTTAAGAGACATTGAAGTCCAATTGATTAGTTCAAATAAATAGAAGTCATTGAAAAATGTCGGATGCAAGTTGCAGGAAAGTCACGTTAAAGGGGCGTCCGTTCGAAAACCGAGGCCGACAGCGAAAACGGTCCGCGCGTGTGCATGCCACGTGAGCGACGCGTTCCGAGAGTGCACCGTGCTTGCGTTCCGAAATTGACATTACGTCAGGGGACGCTTCTCCATGGAGGGTCAAATTAAAACGTTCTTATTGAAATTAAAGGCTTATTTTTAATTATTAAGTGTAATTCTGTTTGTCAATAAACATATTTTCATTTTTAATTAAAATTTTACTGAATGTGGCTGCATTAGAAGTTAGCTGTATTTATGTAGGTTACAAAACAATCTTAGTCAGTTTATGAGTTTTCTTTGAATTGCGGTTAAAGGTGTTCTTATAAATTAAGAAATTAGTTTTATTAAAATATTTCATAATTTAATTAGATCCTAAAACAGTTAATTACCCACGGAGAGAACTTAAATATTATATGAAACGTATGAATTGTTTAATTTAAACAAATAGTAGTAGTTATAAACAACAAATGATTATTTATAACCTTTCCTTAGTTAAATGCTATGTTCGCTGCGTATGTGGCGACAACGTGCCTTTTATCTCTTAGTCTCTGCACGTGTTTGGAACGTCATATTTATTTTTGTACACATTAAATGGAGCTACGGCGGACAATAACATACAAGTGTATGCCTACCGGTATCACGGACAAAAGGGTCAAAAAGATAACAAATACCTTGTTGAATTTCATTCAAACAAGGATATAATTTATATGCAAGATAAAAAAGCAAAAGTAAGGTTATTTCCAGGTTGGATGGAAGCTTTAAAAACTTGCTCAAAAATATTACGTTTTGTCCCAGCGTGAGTAATAATTAGGCGAGATATGAGGTTATTTTTACTAGAGGAAGAATAAAGCTCCGTGGTATTTGTATGCAGCTTGGTAAAGAACCGTCCTTATGTTAATAATATTTCATTTAATTTGTGTCCCTTAGTATAGAAGAGACGGTGACGTTGTTAGTTTTTGTAAGCTAAGTTGCGAATGAGCGATTTGCAATTGAAGAAAACCGAGTGATTTAAATGTAAATGTAATATTTCCCTTACGAAGTTTAATGAACACTTCAAACGCTTTGTTATTATATTTTTTTAAAGTTCTTCTTATTTGGACTCCAACAAGAAGTAATCGGTTTTAAAATATTGCTTTCATTTCCAAACTGCAAGAATCATTGCGAAGCCACGGTGCCGAATTCATAAATTTTGACACTTAACTTTAGAATACAGTAGTGTCATGGTAACCAATGACTTTTACAACATTACCCCGCCAGATCGATGATAGTGGAATATTCCTTCCAACGTAGCAAGCAAAAAAATTAGCTTCGACTTACACCCGGTATGTGTCATTACAAAAGTTATAAATGCCCCATATCGATCGAAACTTGGCTATGGGAGGCGACCGAAGTGAATTGGCGGCCGCGGGTTAATGAACTTTGGCATTCCTGCCTACATATTACGCATTATGGCTTACGGCTGATCGAGAATTACGCGATAGGCAGCCCTATGCCGTACTTATACTTTTCAGTCACTTAGAAGAAAGTTTTATTTTATGACGTGGTAAACAGCCAAGTCCTCGACGGACTTCGTATCAGCTGTATTCATTCGATAATAAGGCGTCATCTTGAAGGAGGTATAGTTAGAACAACATTTAAACTTGCTTCTAAGACACAAATGGTTTGATTGATCCAAGAATCAGCCTTAACGAATTTACGTAAAACAATCTTGCAATGAAAAACTTTCTTTAATTGCATCAAAGCAAATGTGATACAAGTTTAAATAAAAAGTATTGAGTAAACAATTGAAAATAAATTTTTCACAATTTTGCTATAGAGAACTGAAAAAAAAATTAAAAAAAAAACATTATTTACTGCACACGCGGAAATGCAGAGAATTTTCGCGTGTGCTCTATCTAGCTCATTTGAATGTTGCAGAATGGACCTTGGAATCGAATTCACATCTAAGTTAACAAGAGTCACTGGATTGATGTCCTTAGTAGTATAGTTTTCAAAAATTCTGATACGTATTTCCCTTTAAGTTACCATAATGAGTTACCATTTTTTTTATTTTAAAACAAATTCAGAATTTTAGGGAAATTTCCATAAACCTTAAAAACTTTTCATTTATAAAAGCAAAATATGCATTAGTATCAATATGGTTTCGATAAAACTTGGTACTTAATTTTAACTTTAAATATTGACCATTTTTATTTTTTGCGAAAAAATTTAATATTATTTGTTAATTTCAAAATTAATCAGCGTGACGGGTGAAAATATGGAATAGTTGCGAATATTGTTCCAATCGCACGAATAAATATATACAACCATGAATGAGAGAGTGATAATTGGTATTTGAACTTAACTATTAAACTAAACGTATGCATTTTAATGCATAGTTTAACAGTAGAGTCAGGTGCGTTAAGTATCACGCACAGATATAGTTCAAAAGTACCGATGTAGTAAGAGTGCACATAAATTGTACTTATTGTGTTAAAATTTAACTTTCTACTAATAAATCGCAAGTTCCGAGATGATTATGACATATTTTGCGTTAATTAATTTCATAAATATTTATTCTTAAGAATTTTCGGGATAAGAATTTGCACATTCGCGGAATTAAAAACAAAAATTTCTTCAAATACGCTATATTATAATCATATTAAAAATACGAATTTATTTTGTTTAATTTGAAATTAAACACTTCTATTCCATTGTTTGTGGTAGGTCAGTACGTGTTGGTAACAGAGCTGGATGTAGAGCAAAGCGATATTAGAAAACATGATAATATTTCTTATAAACGAAGGCATATCACCAACCTTTCTTAATCTTCCTCGTCCTCTTTTCACACATGTTCTTTGAATAACACAGCTTGACGGATTTCACAAACACTGGATATTAAATTGACTTAAACTAGTCGGTATTTCAGCGCGAGAGTGCAGACGTGCGATCGACTCGAGCTCCGAGCAGTGAATTGGCAGCCAGGCTGCGAGTTTGAAAATCGAAGCCGCCGGGCGAGGAGAGACGTCCCGCTGACGTCGACGTTCGACGTTGCGTTGTAGAGAGAGATGGAAGATTGTTGTTATGATATTACCTACTCACGTTAATATAAAAATAGAAGGCACAATAATTAGCTTTTACTTCCAAACAAAGCTTTTAAAAAAATCTATTAAAAGTTTAGACCATTTTATAATAATTAGAGCGTAGTTAGGAACTTAAAAATAAGTACGTATTGTGATATCTAGAAGTAAATGAATTTTTTTAGTGGTCTTAAATAACAAGCATTCAAATTTGGGTTTTAGGTACTTTTATAGAATTCCCTATTACAATAAGAATAGGTAAATGCTTATTCTTCTACTAATGTACGTAACATTATTTAACAAGGATTTTCAAAGCTCCATACGTTCATGCCTTTACACATATCATTTTATAGCTCAAATAATATGATTTCATTATTTTCATAGACCTAATAAATATCTTTTTATAAGTTAATGTTTACAATACTTAGCTAATAGTAGATTTCGTATGTATATCTCATGGTTTATCTACATGGCCGTACCTCGCATGTGCAGACACGTGTTGACGTCGAACTATAATTTTTAAGTCGCGCCAAAAGACGAAAATTTTTAATATTGTAATCATGAACTAGTTTGTATTATTGCATTAAAAAGACACTTGATTACTTTCTTTTGATTGAATTTATATCCAAAACAGATTGTAAACTTTTCAGAATAAAATCTTTTATGGATATCGTGTGCATTTTTTCAATACCATGATATATTTGTAATAATAACCCATAGAATTTATCTTTTCTTGTATATTTGTATTAGTTTGTAAATAATAATTATTCACAACATTTCACATCGTTGATACTCTTCGGGTATATTTATAAAAGAGGCAAAAAGTTTATATTTCGGAAAAGTATATCGTTTTATCGCTTGATGAGCATTATCTGTATAATATTCGTACATCCTTGTGAACGTATGTCGGTCGTGACGTATGGATCTATCGCGCAAGTCTACTCATGAGTCACTTTATACACCCGCCATGTATTAAGGCGTCATCGGGCATAAACCAACACAATGGCCATCTCATGCCGAAAAAGGGCCTAATTTCGCATGTACACTAGTAACGTAACACTTGATAGCGCGTACGAGCTCTATAACTATATATATATATATTTCTTATAATAGCTCATGATTAAATGCTTTAATCCGCTTAAGGAATTAACAGTTATGGCGGCTACTGATTTGGTTCTAGCTTCTGTATAATATTATAAATCGTGTAATACTCAAGGTCTCTACACCATTCTCTCTATCCACCCATTTCTACACCAAGATCTTTCTTCAAGATTCTAATATCAATTGCCAATCATCTAAGACATTTTATTTGCAAATCATTAAAATAAAAACTATAAACTGCCATATCAATATTGAATAATGCGGGAATTAGGTATAGGTGATACGATTTGCGATAACGATTTTCGATATGCCCTGAATTTAAAAATTTATGTATTTAATAAATTGTAGGTATGTATTTAAACTTACTAAAACGTACGAACCTACGTATGAACAAAAAAAACGAATACTTAACCTTGTGCAGTGTCAGTACCTGGCTGCTTGCCATAAAAATAAATAATAAATGTTTAAAAAAAAAATACACACACTTGTAGCACGATTGAAACGCATCCGCTACGGGAAATATACATGGTGTGACTGATATCACCCAACTATTGTTTATTAGATGTATTTATATCTATCTCAATAAAAAGAGAGCCAACAGAGCAAACACATTATTACTATTTATGATGTTTTGTAGTAACATTCATCTTTTCCTGATATATCAGGTACGAGTGTTTTTTAATTATATATTATTTTAAAAGCTTTTAAAAGAATATATGTATAATTAAAAAATCATTTCAATCAGGTTCGTTGATTTAAAAGACGGAAAAAACTTTTGGCGCTGTAATGCCTGGAATCATCTATTGTACTATTACTTTCCAAACCATATGTATTTTCATTCGCTCTGCGTGTTGGAATAATGTGTAAGTAATGTTTCAACATCAGAATTTATTAAAAACCGACTACAAAGGTGCAAGGCAAAGTCGTGTCTTGACACGCGGTTAGGGTAGGTTGTGCGCGGCACGTTGTTTCGAATGCGTTCCGCACGTTTTTTCCAATGTGTATGTTACGTAGGTACATCAAAGCATTATATTTTTACATTTACACGTAGTGTTTATGTAACGATAACCAATTTGTGCATATCAAACATTTGTGGTATGAATCTTAAGTACGTATATTAAAAGTTTATATTTTGGCAGCAGCGGCTGTCGACATTTAATTACTAGCCATTTAATTTAACGTCGTTTCGTGTTCGAATAGATGGATGTGACCTTTTTTTGTACTTAATTTTGAATTTTCTTTTAGATCTTTTGATCTAAATTATAAATTTTAGCAACCTTTTGAGAAATAGAAATCCATCTATATCTATTTCATTTTATTTTGAAGTTCTTCATGAATTAAAAAAACAAATTTAATAGATTTTTTTACGTGAGGTGGTCATCAGGTTGGTGGTCTACCCAATGTTAAGTAATTACCACCGCTCATGAACAATCGCAACATCCGTGGGTTCGCAGAACATTATTTCGATACGTGTGTTGGCCGATAAAAAATAGCGAAATAGTATTTTAATGCATTAAGGCTTTCTGTTTCAAATAATAATTTACTGTTACTTGTTTTGTTTTAAAATGATAATAAGAAAATAATTGTAAAGCTATTAGTATAATAAATTCCTCGGTTTATTAATTGCCGCAATAATCTAATTAACCGCCATCCATTGAGACAAAAGATTAATTACAAAAACATAACACAAAATCACTCAATAAAGTATACATAAACTTTAACATATTGTTTTGAATACAGATTGCATCAAACTTTTGTTTGCATAAATCAAATTCGTCTTCGTCAAAGCGTTACGCTCGTTGGTGACTTTTCGAAGAAGCCCGAGATTATTGACCTTAATCACGTTGGCCGCCATGCTGTATGCACAACAAAACAAACGAACTCGTTGCGCGAAATGAGGTCTGACCTTCCGTAAGCTCGTGAACGAACGGACTTTTAAAGTTTTAAATGAATGAATGAAATGAATATTTATTCGATTTTTTACAGATGTAATCTTACATTTTTTCTGACATTTTTTTCTAAATTGGATTTCTACAGTTCGAGTTCTTTTTTCGTATTTTGAAAATTGGATTAAAATAATTTAGAATCGTTAAATAAAAATAATTACGGTTTTCTTCGTGTTTAATTTTAATTTGATGGAATAGACCATTAATAAGTGTTCGAAATACCACGAATTTAAAATAAAAGAATATATTGTAGTTTTCGCATAAATACAATAAGTATGTATACTATTTAATTCATGTTTACACAGCTGTGGTGGCAATAAAATTGTGATGCACCTTGTTAGTGCCCAACGTTTAAAAAAAAAGTGTGTGTGTGTACTTATGTACACGCGTTAGAAGTTATACTTCTTTGCCGTAACAAGATAAAAATCTTTTCAAAAATTTTATCTTTCGCCATATTCTTCGTTTGTAGAAAAAAAACACTAATAATAGAAAAAAAGAAGGTAATAAATACTATGAAAGTTTTATTATAACGCATTATCTAGTTAAATAAAGTTTATTTAAATATCAGAAAATAAATGTCGTGAATACAGTTGTGTTCCTTCGCAAGCATTCATAGATGTCTACCTAACAGGTAAAAATTTAGTCTCATCATTTTTCCCTAATGCGTCAAAAGAAGTGTAACTTCAAAAAACAGTTCAACCAGATGCATTTATACTTAGCGTCTATATCTCTTAAGTTAGGTAACCAAGGCTGCTCTGGCGGCTCTCACGCCTTTATTGATATTCATCGGCGGCGGTAACCACTTAACATCAGGGGAACCGTTTGCTTAAAAGCTGTACTTCCAATAAAACGGGCCAGCGCTTGCTCTTTACGATGCAACGATTATTGCTTCAATATACCGTAATATTATCCAACATTTTATGTTTATTCGAAAGAATACACCTAGCCACCAATAAGTGACTCAAAATTACAATCCGCGTGACGCTAAGTCATGTGCATGTGCGGTCCATTCTTTATTATTTTTAGCGGCGCGACGTTCGCTGCGAGCGCGCGAAAGCGTGTTTACCGTTCACGTTGCCGGCTGCGTGCTAGGGTGCGGCGAGACGGCGACGCGTTGTCAATGTGATTCGACAACGTGCTGTCGGCCATCGACGGTTTTCCGTCGCTATATTATATATACGCTAATATGCTAATTCGACGTTACGGTTTCCTCCCTTCCACTCGTGACTCGTCGCGTTTATGCACAATACTACTCAAATTTATAGTTACTTTACCGACTTAATAGGTAGTTTTCGAGTTAAATATGGAGCTACTTTTGCGAGTTCTATTTGTAAAATATCCTTAATGTTTATTTTTAAATAGACAATGTGCGACGTAGATGATATATTTCTATATGAACGATATTTTTTATGTCTTCTTCTTGTATTAACTGATGTTTTTGCTTTCAGTCCCGAGACTATTAAAGCTTCATCTGACGCAGAACCGGTGGGCTAGCCAGAACCCACGGGTTTGGGCCCTCCGATGTGGGTAGGGCCGCGCATGTACTCATGCGTGCGTTTAACTACGACATGTCATCTAAGGGCCATCGAAGTTGCGGTGCGGACCGAGACCCCGATGGCCGTCGACTGTGTTTTTAGCTAATCGGTGGCTGGGGGCGGTGAGAACCGCCCTGGAACGCGGGTGTACCTTGTGTACGCATTGTGTTGGTCTCGCCGTGCTCGGAGGC